AAAGCCATTAAGAATATGCATGCCTCTGCCAAGTCGTGTGTTACGACATGTGGTAAAACCTCTAAAACATTTGCTTGTAATATTCAGGTAAGGCAGGGTGATAATTTATCCCCTTACTTTTCGCAATTTAAAGGGTTACGGTATATGATGAGGTGTGTTCTGATGATCTTGATAACATTTCTGATGAAGACTTATTTATTAATTTACATTCATTGCTATTATGCAGATGATTCTCTTATCTTGGCTGAAAATCCAGATTAACTCCAGATAGCTTTAGATGCTCCATCTAACTACTGTGAAGAATGGAAATTGCATGGGAATCATGAAAAAACAAAGATAACGATATTTTCTATAGAGGGAAGGTACGCCAGTACCCAGTTTTTAAGTATGGGAACGATATTATCAATATGCTACATAACTTTGTGTATCTTTGGGTTAAATTTAATTACAATGGTAATGTTTAAAAGGTAATGTCAAAACAGGTGATTCAGGCAAGAACGCCTTATTTTCAATGACAAAGGTTAAGATTATCATTGGACATTAAATGTGAGTTATTTGAGGTGACACGACATTTGCTCCTGCGACAATTGCTCCGGGCTTTATTTCGTCTAAGATGTAGGGTTAGGGTTAGGGTTTCAATAGGGTTTTATGTTAGGTTTAGGGTTAGGTTTAGGGTAGGGTATAGTGTTGAATCCAGGGTTGAAGTTAGCCATTCGATTAGTGTATGAAATTTACAGCGGAGCAATTGTCGCCGGAGCAAATGTCATGGAATCTTATTTGATCAGTATAATTTGTTAATCCTGTCAATGGGGGGGGGGGGGGGGGTATTACATATTAGGACATTCGGGAGTGCCGCTCTAATGGGTCACATTTTCGCAAAGAATCCCTAAACATGGGTCCTACTTTTCAAAAATACCATTTCAAAATTTCCAAAATTTGTAAAAAATGGGTATTTTTTCGAGAAAAGTGCCCCCCAAATGCCCCCTTATAATAGGTAGGGGTTTCGAGGCTTGAGCGGCACACCCTCTTCCAAACCAAATATGGGGCTTTTATGGCTGTGAGGTGTGGGGTTTTGAGGATTTGAGGTTTTTCATCGTAAATGCTTAATGTCAATAAATATACACCTGGCAGTATGATTTATGGTGAGACAGGCCGTATATGTTCAGGTTAAATGTAGAATGGTAGGTTTTGGGCTAAAAGTAGTTGAAGGATGTCATTGTAAATTTTCATTCAGATTCTATAATCTTTTGAAACTATACTTATGGAAAGAGGTACCCAGCCTCTGATGTGTAGAAAATACATTAAATAATGCTTGCCTAGGAAATGTGTGGTAAAGGCAAGGGGCTGGATTCAGATTCTTCACGCTCTAAACTTAGGTTGACTGACAAGTCAAAGCAAGAAATATTGTCAATTCTTTGGTCAAATCGCATTTGTGTTAAAGGTACTATGTCCCTTTTACAGGCCAAAAAAATGAAAAGGTTAAATTCCAATGGCATTTGAAAGATAATACTCATTTAGAACTCCCCTTAACAAAAATGGAGCTTGAAAATTAGTTGTCGAATCGACTTAGGAGCTATAGAGCCAATAAGTAATAGTCTTGATATTCAGACCATTGTACCGCATGGTCGTACGTTTTATGCTGCGCAAAGATTCAATCAGTTTAATTTTGGCCATTACAAGAAGTGGGTTACTGATTTAGACAAATCCTTTACAGCTCATTTTATGTATGTTATTACCAAAGAAGAAAAAGCCAGTCAGTCACTCAATACTGACAAAAGTGTCTGACAGTGAAGTCTAGCAAGTAAACGGGTTTCCTTGCATAATTTGAATATTATGACACTGCTAACGTTTAAATTTCACAGATAGGACATACATGACATATTCATAATTCCTGCAAAGTTCTACAGAATTTGAGGTTGGCTGCAAAAGGGACATAGTATCTTTAACTACCGAATTTTCAAGAACGAAATTATATTTGAAAAGTATTTGGTAAAGTTGAATAGGAGAGATGCAATCACTTTGTGTCGATTCCAATGCAGGTCACACTGCTTACCAATTAATAATGGAAGGTTTGAAAATTATCCCGACGAAAGTAAAATTGAATGTCCTTGTTGTAATATAAAGGTTTTTAGAGAAGAATTTCCCTATATTTTGTCTGCCCTTTTTTCAGGAAAGAAAGGCAGTTAGATTTAGATCGACAGTTCGTTGAGGGTAACCCTAGTACATTTCACAAGGACAAATTGTTTAATAGATCTAGTATTAAACGATTAAGAAAACTGCTAAGACTCATAACAGTAATAATATAATTCTTTTCGTTGGTTCCCAAGGCTGATAGTGTACTTAGAGGTATAGACAAACCAAACCACATGAAATTTTTAGACTTATAACCATAAGTTGTATAGTATATAGTCTTTAGATAATGTTTATTGTGTTTTAGAAATATAAATATGTATATATCATGTCTATGTATTTTATTATTATTATAACTTTCTGTATTGCATTGTAATTATGTTGTGCTCTCATACCCCAGAAGGGGGTCGATAGAATCAAATTACACCGATCTACTCTTATCCGTTAAGCCTATTGTATGAACAGAATCTTGCATACATCCAGATTACTATTGCTTTTATCATCATCAATCATCACCATTTCTTCTTAGGCCTATTTCTTCTCCTTCTGGTGTTTGTTCTTTTCCTTCTTGTTCAAAATCAATAAAACATCTATAAAAGAAATTGTTTTCTTGACCTCTAAATGATGAATATTGTTTATAGTTAGTTGGACAGCATGCTCTGGCTTTTTTAAAAGCCATTTGCATTTGGTGTCAGGCTCGACCTTTTTGTCCCGAAGTTCATACGTCACCGTCTGTGTTATCTTTATCTCATTCTATGGTATGAATCAGCTGTTGTCGAACCCATGTACTGCATATAAAGGTAGAACCTGTGAATAAACAAGGACTTGTTTGCCTAAAACTTATAAAGTCAACATCACTCTGTAACTAAGCAATCATCATCACCATCATCACTGATATCACTATTCATTATAATTACCATTGGGTGGAGTTATGTGAAACTGCTATATATATAAGTAATATATAAACATTTTATGTTTATGCATTGTTCCTACTATGTATTATTATTATTATATATTGTAACCAAGTGTTATTATCTGTAAACAGTTATTTTACATGGTGAATAAATACAACAAACAAAAACAAATATAGCAGTATAGCATTTCACAAGCAAGTAATTCAGAATTGACCTTTGAAGAAAACAATTTAAAAGAAATATAAGGAGACATACAAATGTTAATTGTAAACATCATGTTTATTTTTCATTTTAAGTATGATTATTTAGATATTAGTCTACATTGCAGAAGCAATCATAGAAGTGATCACTTAAAAGACGAATTTTTCAATCTTCAGTTACGAGGGTCAGCTCAACTCAGTTTTTTTAATTTGGATACTAATTGACCAAAGCAAATTTAATTAATACCAAACAAACCAATTTCCTTCTTTGCCGAGCATATAAAGTAATTTGTGAATGCCTGTTATTGTCTTGTTTTTTTCTGTTAAAGGTAATACAAAGTTCTGAGAAATTTTGAAAATTGGGTGGATAGTGATTTTTTACAATTTTGATATATTTGGATGCCCCTGTGCATGTATTATAAGCACTAGAATATTTAGCCCCTAAAACACAAAAAAAATTGAATATAAAAAATTGCCGGTGCTCCCTACAAATTTTGATAAATTTCAATTCCAAACAGGAATAGCTAATCGGTTGATTTTAGTCAAGAAACAATGTTTTATAGCTTAATTAATATCTTGACCCTGAGAGAGAGCTATACAACATAAAGAGTTTATTATTTACAATTTCATAACTTCAGACTCGATTTCAACCGCAAATATTGTAGGATCGCATACTGGTATGCTTCCAATATGTTCATTTGAACCAAATTCATGACCCCCATACCAAAACTTTGTATTACCTTTAATGCCCACTATGAAAGGAGTTAATATTAGGGCACTTAATAATCAACTTGAGACGTTAAATATTATTGAACTTTAAATTAATCTGAAGCACATATTGATGTTGCTAAATGAAAAAAAATGATGAAAACCACAGACGTGCAGATGACTAGAGAGCCAAAAGACACACATACAATTTTAATAACATGACTTATAAGATTACTTTAGTTGCTGACTTATACAGCAATCACATCTTAGGTGAATAAATATTCTGAGAGAGAGAGAGAGAAAGAGAAAGAGAAAGAGAAAAGAAAGAGAAAGAGAAAGAGAAAGAGAAAGAGAGAGAGAAAGAGAGAGAGAGAGAGAGAGAAGAGAGAGAAGGAGAAAAAAGCAGAGGAACAGCAAGAGAAAAAGAATGCAAGAAATCAAGAATGCATTCACGATGTCTTTCATTGGGAGAATCAGAAAGTTTGATATTTTTTACTTCAAAATTACATAAATTCACCTTTTCAATAAGTAAAAGAAAAAAATGTGGCAACTTTCACTGAATACAATGGGTTTATTAAGTACCGTAACCATTCATTACTTTTTCATCTACATCTACATGTAAATTCAGAGTGCAATCAACTTATAGTACTTTCAGGAGTTGTCTCTGAGCTGAAACATTTAAACACACATAGTTCAATATCATTTCATGCTGTAAACATACTGTACTGTAAATACCTTTTACAAAAAAATATATATTTAGAAAAACTGAAAAAGAAAACGTCTTACATACATAAAGAAAATATCTTTTGCATAGTAAGATAGCACACACGGTTGTTCGGTTATATGATCAAATAATATTTAAGCATTAACACACAGGCAGTTGGAATCACACACTTTTGAATGGGAGATGGCAATGTAAACAAAAATCATAACTTTGAATACTGGTGTTCAATGCAGGTATCAAACTGAAAGGGTAATCTTACAAAGTCTTGTAATAACACATTCCTCTAAATGAGATACAATGCCCCCCCCCCCCCCCCCCCCCCCCTCTGCAAACAAAAATGTTGTGAATAGATACAATTTAAATGTTTGTGTTTCATACCGGTAATAAACTACGAGGGCACACTTAAGTTTATGTACCGACAAAAAATTAAAAAAATAAATAAAAATAAATTGATATAGAACAGTTCTGTAACAAGCAAAAATTATAAGAAAAGCCATGAATGTTGAAACTACAAATCATACATTATCAAAAATGATTTATGAGATAGCATAAGTGCCTGGATAGCATTGTGGATGTACACACAACCGTAAATAATGGACCCTGGCCCTACTCTTGGTGTCAAGTATGATATACATGTAAATTCATACCACTTAGCGGGCTAGTAATACGTGAACAGCATATTGTCAGACCAGTCTAAAGCAAAATACATGTATAGCTTTTTCAGAAATGAAATTGAGATGACAAGAAATAAACAAAGGCAAGAAAGTATCTTCACTAAAATTTACTGCAGCAAAGGCGAACACTATTTGGCAATTATAGTGCTTGTAGTGCCATCATAAACAAAATAAACATGAAAATAAATATTTGATGAGTACTATACTGACGTGAGTTTAAGTATATTATATTTCACATTTCTGAATCTTATCACACAGACCTAGGGAAGACATGTAGGATCTTTGTTGTGCGCAGTCGCTGTTCATTCACAGGTTGTAAAAAAACCGCTGCGGTTTACGACTTCATATCTGAGCGAGACCCTAGTGCAATGTGGCTATTCACTTTCATAAAGTGACCTCCTGAGGATCATTCATGAAATCAACCATGGTTGAAATAATCCTCATATTAATATCTTAACACCTACATGAAAGGCACATCGGCATTGGTCAATGGCTACATTTTGAGGGTCACAAGTAACTACCAGAAAGATTGTGAGATCAAAGAGATCAAGAACCACTTCACTAATGATCTACTCATATATGAATTACAAAACAGCCTCACTAGATATCAAATTGCTGGTGAATGTCTGCACCATTTTAATAGTAAGCCAAAACTGGAACATTTTTCTGTGTTGGTGCAACTGAAATTCTAAGGTAATCAAAAGCTTTGTTCACTTTTCCTTCTCAACAGAATGTTTGTAAGCGCTTTGCAGATCATGACTCAAAACAATTTCCCTTCAAATGTCAAATATTATGTGAATCTGTTAGGAAGACATAATGGAACATGTAGGTAGACCCAATAACGACATATATTGCTGCAATGATGAGCTTGAATCAGATATCCATGTAGACTACATCTCCCTGTCAATTACTCCCATACCCATCAAGCATCTGCATGACGTGATGAAAGACATCCCTGGAAGACACTGTTATCTGATGGTACCTATAGAAGACATCCCTGGAAGACACTGGTATATGATGGTACCTATTGAAGACATCCCTGGAAGACACTGTTATTCGATGGTACCTATGGTACATGACAATACCTTGCTTGTGGGTACCCAGGATATGGAATCTTCAATCCCTTTTAACTCCAATCATGCTTCGCTCTCCAACCAGGAGAGAAACTCCTTCCAGAGGGCACATTCGCAAGATTTGCCTGCTCGACTAAACCTACTCCGCGTCCACCCACTCTGGGATCTGTAGGTTTGTAGGTTACAGTGAGGGGGATATAACCTTGACGGGATTGTGCCTGGATGTCAGCTGCCGGACCGGGTGCCCCAGTGGTGATGCCTTTCTCAATGACCTCCTTGAAGACCTCTCTGAAAGTGAGGGTCTCGGGCTGTTGAGCAGGTGCCGAGGACATATTATCGGAGACACCCTCAAGGCTCTTATGGGCAAACCCATTGTTGTTGACATCAGGTGGTGGTGTCAATGAAGGCTTCCTTGGGCTGGTTTCTTGGGCCTGTATAATGAAAATGACCATTACATTAAGAACACAATCATTTCTAGAGATTCCATGCAGGTTATAGATCTTTTCATGATACTACTGTAATCACTGTGAGTTACCACTTTCTCATGAGGTCTTCAACATGTTTTGCTTAACCTTTACTGAACTGGGCTATTTTCAGCACCTCGTGACTGGGGGGGGGGGGGGGCCCCCCCTCCTATGATCTCGGCCGTCGAAAGTCAGATGAACGCGAAAATGTGCATGTTTGTAGATATTTACGTAAGGGACAAGATGGCATAATTATTTTTTTTCCTAATATGCACATTTTTGTTGTTTTGCCTAATTAAAGATAAACTTTAGTACTGGTAATGCGATTGCATTGTGAAAGAAAAGGTGTGGAAAGGATCAGAAACAGTTGATCATGTAGCATGTCAGTATTGGTGTGCACTGCAAAGTTCTGGAGTCATCAAAATCATAATAAATTTGACCGAGTCTTGGTAAAGTAACAAGCACTCACATAGAAAGCTATATATGGGACAACACACATGGTGTCGGGGCTAGTACTACCTTGATTTCCTTGTCTTTCTATGCTCATTACTCAGCCAGTATACATTTTCTTCCAAAATTGTTTGGCACATGTCATTTATTTGTAATCTTGAACATTCAGTGTAAGTTTCGTTTGATTCTGTGAGAATTCATTTTTTTTTTTTACCAGTACTGGAGTTTATCTTTAATTATGCAAAATGCTAATTTTATGCATTTTACAGAAAACTCTACATATTTGTCTGTAGACTTGTGAAGAATGTTGAAAATGTATTGAATAAATGTTTCCTTCATCTCAAATTCATGAGGTAACATTATTTTTATGATATTTGAAAATGCATAGCTTAATTTGCATAAATTTGCATAAATTATAGCATATTTTTTATGACATGCGCATACTAATTGTTATGTAACACTTTACAGGTATATCTGATTTTGACGAAAATGGTATCAAAATGTGCGTAAGACTTGAGGGAAAAAAGTCATGAAACGACAATTTAAAATTCCAAGTGGTTGCGGCGCCCCCCCCCCCAGTACAGTAAGGGTTAAGGAAAACAGCCTACATTGCAAAGGGAATTGTAATGCCTCTCTAAAACTTTTTGATGAATCGCATTGTTTTGACCATGCAAAATAATGAAAACAAATCTTGAAATCAATAGACTAAAGGGACAATTTTATAATCTGATTAATTTAATATTTCCATCTTAACCCTATCTAGCCCGGGGGGGGGGGGGGGTTAGAACCCCCTTCTACATTTTTTCGCGATAATTTTTTAACGTCAAAGAATCTTCCGCTGAAATTTTATGACTTTTTTTCTTTTTAGTCTTGCGCATCTTTTGAAATAATTTTTTTCGAAAATCGGACCTACCGTTACAAAGTCACATGACCTTTTGTCTTTGCATGTCAGCCCGAAAATTTTTCAATTTCGTGATTTGTGTACAAAACCATAAATATGCAAATGAGTGAATTTTCCAAAAAATGGAAATTACCATAGTATTCTATACACTTCACTTGACATGCATGCAAATTTACGCGGCGATCAGCTGTGAAACGGCAGAGATCTTAAAACCCGGTCTGAAATAGCCCAGTTAAAGTCATCGTTCTCTCCTGAATATGGCACACTTAAAATGTTCTATGTGTATATGTTGTAGTGAACAACAATAATTCTAAAGCTTCAACAGGCAACTAAGAACATCATCTAAAATAAAACAGAAAAAGCCCCTTACCCCTTTTCCAAGAATCTGACGTGGCGTGAGGAGGACATGGCTTGAAGCAGGTGCTTGTTCCCATGAAGACCGATCTGTTTGGGATTCATCATCCTTCTTATCACCTGGCAGTTCAAATCTGACCTTCACAGTGCCCTTTATTGCAAAAATTAAATTAATTTTCAAAGTAATTTTGCCAAGTGAAATTGTATTCATATGTACTGCAGAGTTGCAGAAGTTATTGAGTGAAATAGTGTACAACCTTGTACATATTTTAACTTGAATGACACATCACATTAAAGCCATACCAGCAACATAAAGAGCAACCAGTTTAGGTGAAATATGTAGCATGATACGAGTCACTAGTTCTTAATCTTTGTGGAAGCACAACACCCTTCAACAGTGTAAAACAGAAGACAAAATTTCCCAATATTTAATCATATAGATTTAGCTGCATAGACTTTAAATAGGTTTTTTGTTGTTGAATTATTACCCTTTGTGAGTTGGTGAAAACCCAAAATTACTCCAAGGGGATCACAACTAATAAAAGCTATGACAATGGCTCTGAATAGGGTTGTTCAAACTAGAACCTTTCACAAGCTACTTTAAAGTGATGTCAATTATTGAGGTTTTTTAATCGTTCTTATCCTGAAAGTTAAGAATCGCTGAAAGAATTCTGAGGACAAGGTTTACCTCTTGATTACTGGCACTTGGTGAACTTGGTGAACTTGGTCTGCGCCAATCTTTGGGGGATTGAGGTCTCAAGGATACCTCCTCCCCTCTTCCTGATGAGGGGTCTTGTTCCCCTTTGTTCTTTCTAGCTCCAGCCCTCCGCCAATCATCTGGAGAAGATGATCTCATGGATGCCTCCGGACCTCCTCCTTGGGCATCTCCTTTGTTGATGTTCCTCCCAGCTCCTTGCAGAGTTGCAGAATTCAGAGAGTCTATCTTCTCCTCTCTTGCTCTGTACCTTGCTCCTTCTGCGCCTTGCATCAATCCCTCCCCTCCTCCTCCTGGGACATCAAGGCGGCTCCTGGCTCCTGCACCCTGGGGCCAGCTCAAGGTCCTCTGTCGGGTATCACCACCACCAGACGCTGCTGGGTCTGGGGCAGTTCTGCAGCTGGAGTGTCTACCTCTCAAGTTTGGGTCTGTCTGTAGGTATTTGGACAGCAGAAGAACATCATCCCTTGATCCTTGCTGAAATAGCACTCTGGGATCAGAAAAGGCATGTCTCTGAATGAAAAAATAAAAAGATTTTGATTAGGCCAGAACCTTCAAGATTATGTGGATAAATAATAATAAAAGGCATTTCTATAGCGCCCTCTATCTAGATATTCTATTCCAAGTGGTGTCAAATCCTCAATTGCAACATCCCCTGTACTGGAGATTGACCAAGAAGCACTGGTAAGATCGTCCACTGCAACATCCCTTGTACTCAAGATTGACCAAGAAGCACTTACCTGGATGATCATCCATTGCAACATCCCCTGTACTCAAGATTGACCAAGAAGTATTTACCTGGATGATCATCCATTGCAACATCCCCTGTACTCAAGATTGACCAAGAAGCACTTACCTGGATGATCATCCATTGCAACATCCCCTGTACTCAAGATTGACCAAGAAGCACTTACCTGGATGGTCCTCCATTGCAACATCCCCTGTACTCGAGATTGACCAAGAAGCACTTACCTGGATGATCCTCCATTGCAACATCCCCTGTACTGGAGATTGACCAAGAAGCACTTACCTGGATGATCATCCATTGCAACATCCCCTGTACTCAGATTGACCAAGAAGCACTTACCTGGATGATCATCCATTGCAACATCCCTTGTACTCAAGATTGACCAAGAAGCACTTACCTGGATGATCATCCATTGCAACATCCCCTGTACTCAAGATTGACCAAGAAGCACTTACCTGGATGATCATCCATTGCAACATCCCCTGTACTCAGATTGACCAAGAAGCACTTACCTGGATGATCATCCATTGCAACATCCCTTGTACTCAAGATTGACCAAGAAGCACTTACCTGGATGATCATCCATTGCAACATCCCCTGTACTCAAGATTGACCAAGAAGCACTGGTCAGATCATCCATTGCAACATCCCCTGTACTCAAGATTGACCAAGAAGCACTGGTCAGATCATCCATTGCAACATCCCCTGTACACAAGATTGACCAAGAAGCACTGGTCAAATCGTCCATTGCAACATCCCCTGTACTGAAGATTGACCAAGAAGCACTTGTCAAATCAGCCATTGCTACATCCCCTGTACACGAGATTGACCAAGAAGCACTGGTTAAATCAGCCATTGCAACATCCACTGTACACGAGATTGACCAAGAAGCACTGGTTAAATCGTCCATTGCAACATACCTGTACACAAGATTGACTGGTCAAATCATCCATTGCAACATCCCCTGTACACAAGATTGACCAAGAAGCACTGGTCAAATCATCCATTGCAACATCCCCTGTACACAAGATTGACTAAGAAGCACTTACCTGGATGATAAAGGCCACGTCGCTGTGTGAGATGGTATGCTTCAGGACTGAAGGCATTTCTTTAGAGAAAGGTGACTCCCACAGGTTAAGCAGGAAAGACCGGGTATAGCGCACTGGTTTGCCATCATTCACTGTTAGGATGTTCAAAAGAAACATGTCTGAATCCTTTTAGGCAATATTTGTTTAACATGTACTGTACATTCAGGTTGTGATTTAAAAAAAGTTATCATTCGTTTGTTATTGTTATAGTTTTAAACATATGCTACTGTTAAAAACGTTTGTTGTTCACAGAAACATGCTTTCACTGCAATGGATGCAATAATGTTAAGAAAATGGGTATACAAATCCATTTGTGCCAGTTTTCAACTAACACATTTCAACTGACAAAATTAGGATTGAATCAGAGTATTATTTACAGTAGAAATAGTACAATTTCACATGTTACACTGATGTCATTAAACCATATATGCTTTAAAGAGGCATATTTCTCACAACATGAGAAAAAAACCATGACAATTTTAGATAAATCTAAGTAACCTTTTCCTAACGGCACATAAGAAACTTCTTTTGTGCCACTAGGTTTTTGAGTAATTGAAAAAATGTACTTTCAAAGGTTGGATATGCACTTGAGCGAATTGTCGCAGTAGTGCATGAGAATACCCTGTACAATGGAGGAACCAGTTTCTGTTTCGGGAAGAGATGTGTAGCCCATTTGAGTGCAAACAGTATGTTCAACACTCCTTTTCTGCCCATATTATGAAAAGCGTTCACCTACCTCTCCTCCTATAGCTATCAGGTAGCTTGGCCGACAGCAGCCTGGACAGCTCAGCATCTAATTCTGAGGTAGATTCCAATGTCATCCACTCATCCATGTCATGCTCTGGCATGATGAACTCCTCCGAGCTATCAGACTCGTAGGTCATTTCCGACGTCGTCAGCCACTGGTCATCGTCTTCCTGTTCATCGTCAGTGTCGTCGGGAAACGGGATGGACTTTGCCACATGAGTCATTGCCTCCATGTCTGGGCTGGGCGGGGCGACTTGGAGAGGAGGTAGGGGGATGGGGGAGTAGCGCCCTGCAACTCCTGGAAAAGAAATCATAAAAGAATGATACGACTCATTACATAATATCTTGATTGGTCTTGTTTCAGATTTTCTATGGTTCATATGGAAAAAATGCAAAACAATTACACAACGCCATATATATGTACAAGTGCACCGACATCCCATCGAAATGCATTAGTACAGATTAGCCGGCATTTCAATGGGATGCTGGCAAATTTTTACTTGTGATGGTTTTATACAAATAATACACAGCAGTGAGGGCATTAGTAAGAATTACCCACACAAGGTATTAATGCCCGAACAAAATGAGGTGTATTATTTTTTTTATAAGATGATGTTTTATTTGTTTTATAACATGATGTTACTAATGAACGGTCATTAGTAGAATTACGTGTTAAGCAAAAATAAATGCCTGGTTACGTGTATGCTTTCAACCAATCATTTGATTAGGATCTGCTTCATCATCTTATAAAATAAAATAACGCCCTGGTTATCAAGAACCAACAGCACTAAAAAAAACCTCACCTTGTTGGAGTGGCCTTTGGCTCTGGATGACCATCCTGTCATGAGGATGAGTAACTTCAGGAGACTTTAAGGGAGAAGGCAAGTCTCGTGGTTGAGCCTTTAATGAGAAGAAAAAAGTATAGCATCACCTTATTCATGGAAATTAGTTGTAGGATTTTTTGTTTTCAAAGTTAATATTTAAAAAACACACACACATGGTACTACATTTATCACTTTCCATAGAACCTTATCTAATACTGAGTTGAAGGCACATTGGACAGTTGAAGGCAATTAAGTCATGATATTCTTTGATTATCTTGATATCTCAAACACTTGGGGAACAGATTTCATTAAAGTGGTTCTCAATCTTGAAATTAAGGCCCCTAAGTCTGAATTGGAGTCATAGTTGGGTCTTTATATTACATAACACATGCAACATCAACTTACTGGAACCTTTTGAAAAACATCCATATTTACATTGTATTGCATAGTTAAAAAAAGGAAAAAAAATCAACAATAAAATGGATCAAAATGAAATTTTGAGTATGCAATTTTTGGGATAACCACTTCACAATCCGTGCATTATTCCACACAGTATAGAGAGAAGACAGACAGCCTATAACATACCTGTGGAAGCTCTAAAGGGTCATGACCCCATTTCTTGGCCCTGAGTTCCAGAATCTCCAAGAGTCTAGTCCTAGAGAGTTCACTTTTCTCTTGGTCTATGATCAGGGTCCTAATAGTGCAGAACATAGCATCCATGGTATCTACATGATGGGGAAAGAGAATTCCAGCAATTACCATAGCAACTACATCTATGTTGCTAGGAAGCATTGGTGTCACAGGTAGAGGTGTCAACATTGAGTGGTTGAAACACTTAAGGGATAGTGGAGTTCTGTTGCAGAGGGCGCTACACAAAATAATTTTTTGTGAGATAATGAAAAACTGAGTGTCAAATTTGAAAGAACATACAATTTAAATGATAAAATCATCTTTGTTTTATCAAAATCGGTTCAGAGAGGGCTGAAATATCCATAAATATAACAATTTCTAATACTTGTGTACCACCACAAATATTAGATAATTTAAAAAAAACAGTTGAAAAAATGAAATAGCACCTATTACGTCGTATTATAGTCAATGCCGATGTTGGCTTTTTGTTGGCATGTTCTTGTTGGTTATATTACGCAAAACCAGCCGACCCATGTATTGTTATTTTTAATTGAATAATTAATTAACGGTCACCGTATTTTTTTAAAAAGTAGAGCTGAATTGGTATGATCATATTGACTAGCTTTTACATAATTTGGGGTCTAAAATTACCTTCATAGCAATTTTAGGTTCTAAAAGGGCACTAGAAATGTCTTAGATAAGATAAGAATAAGAGCAATAACTGTGCACTTTGAAGGCATTTGCGGTCTGAAAACAGAACTCAACTATCCCATTAAAAAGTGTCATAATCAAGTGGTTTGAAAACTTAACAGCACATGCAAAGGTTATGGATTTGACCATGCAATAGTGTCCATTGGCAAGGCATTGATTTAACTTTGCCACCCTCCACCCAGGTGTTAATGGGAACTGCTAGGAAGTAATTGCTTGAATACTGTGAGCGTGGAATGGTGGCCCAGCTAGACCAGAGCTGGTAATTCAGGGTGCCTCGAACACTCTGCATGATGGATACCAGTGCAATATTATTACCAATTTACCATCATCAGAAAGAATATATATATATATATATATATATATATATATATGTATATTTTTAGCTTCAACTTTACTTTCAAGAGATAAATTCTCACTCCTGTGACAAATAAAACTTTCTGAAATGTCAGGTGATGTACTTGGTACCATATGAAACCAAGACATCCATAAGTATCCCCCCCCCCCTCAAAAAAAAAAAAAAAACCTTGTTTATGCTTGATAATCGATTGCATCAGAGAATCCAGAATAACTTGGTCTTTCAACTTTTTAAAACAAAGTCTAGTTATGCTGTCCTTGCAACTGACTTGTCTGAAATAAAAACTATATTTATTAAGAGTGGTTTGTAGTGACTGGTTTGAGAATTACTCCCTTTTGAGGAAATGTCTACTTTAAAACGCTCTACAACTTTAATATGCACTTTGATGGATGTCTTGATGTGCCTAAAAGATATTACATGACTAGAAACAAGATTTGCTCTCAGAAACAGTATGTTCTGTATCTGACATAAGATTTAAATTACTCTCACCTTTATACTTGGAGTCCAAGTAATACCCATTGGTCTTCAGGAGATGACACAGCTTACCAACAACTAAGTCAAAGGATCTGTTATTCAAAAGAATGGAGGAAGTCAACATTGTAATTCATAGGCTAACATGGGACACAATCTTGCAAGCTGCTTGGAGAGGAAAAAGGGAAACAAGTTGTCTGCTTTCACTCGAGGAACAGCTGGAAACCATCAGAACTTTCATAACAGCTTAATTCTTCACTAAATCTGAAAATATATGTAGGCATATAAAAGTGATTACCGGTAGATTTTATCAGAAAATGTGTTGACAGCTTGGAAAAAAGATGTACTGGTACATTTATATTTGTCTGTGATATATCAGGAGTTGTTTTCGATAATTGTCCACAATGGGAATAGGTGTTCCTTTTCATTTGTTGAGCCATAACAATTCTAGGCAGTTAGAAAACATTGTTTACATTCTTCTAGTCAAAACAAAAGTATCATAATAATTCTAATAGTCTGTTTCACAGATGAGTTTTCCAGGAGTAATCAGAATTACTGATAATTGTTATCTCTCAACACAAGATAATTATGTCAAAGAGACAGAGGCACAACAGGTAACAAACAATAGAACCACTGTGAGTCAAGTATACTGCATGCCATGTTTATTATTATGAAGCGTAGCCTGAATTTAGCTTCAATAAATCAATAGTGGGAATGTAAAATGCACTTAGAGCAGAGGTCAATAAACTGTAAATAGTGTATGGTCAAGAAGAGAAGAAGAGGAGAAAAATCAGAAAATGTGAAGTGAGATGATGAACATGAGGAAAAAAGGGGTGGTGGAGGAGGGGGAGGGTGGTGGAGGAGGGGGAGGGTGGTGGAGAGAGAGGAGGGAGAGAGAGGAGGGAGAGAGAGGAGGGAGAGAGAGGAGGGGGAGGTTGGTAGAGAGAGGGGGAGGGAGAGAGAGGAGGGAGAGAGAGGAGGAGGGACAGAGAGGAGGAGGGAGAGAGAGGAGGGGGAGGGTGGTGGAGAGAGGGGGAGGGAGAGAGAGGAGGGGGAGAGAGGAGGAGGGAGAGAGAGGAGGAGGGAGAGAGAGGAGGAGGGAGGGTGGTGGAGAGAGGGGGAGGGAGAGAGAGGAGGGAGAGAGAGAGGAGAGAGAGGAGGAGGGAGAGAGAGGAGGAGGGAGAGAGAGGAGGGGGAGGGTGGTGGAGAGAGGGGGAGGGAGAGAGAGGAGGGGGAGAGAGGAGGAGGGAGAGAGAGGAGGAGGGAGAGAGAGGAGGAGGGAGGGTGGTGGAGAGAGGGGGAGGGAGAGAGAGGAGGGAGAGAGAGGAGAGAGAGGAGGGAGAGAGAGGAGGAGGGAGAGAGAGGAGGAGGGAGGGTGGTGGAGAGAGAGGAGAGAGACGGAGGGAGGGAGAGAGAAGGAGGAGGGAGAGAGAGGAGGGAGAGAGAGGAGGGAGAGAGAGGAGAGAGAGGAGGGAGAGAGAGGAGGAGGGAGAGAGAGGAGGAGGGAGAGAGAGGAGGGAGAGAGAGAGGGAGAGAGAGGAGGGAGAGAGAGGAGGGAGAGAGAGAGAGGAGGAGGGAGAGAGAGGAGGAGAGAGAGGAGGGAGAGAGAGAGGAGGAGGGAGAGAGAGAGGAGGGAGAGAGAGAGGCGAGAGAGAGGGGAAGGAGAGAGTTGATGATGATGGCTACTAGTGTAACGCTAGTGTCTGCCTCTGATGGGCGCTCATGGTGCTTGCTCTACAATTTCTCACAAATTCAACCTTCTGGGTCATTATTTCAAATTCAGATTATTTCATATTAATTAGTATTTGTTGGTATAATACTTGAGATGATGTTGAGTTTTGAGGGCTGACAAGGATGTTGACATACATTGTAGACTTAATCATGGTGCTCCTGATAGATTGTGGAAGGTTATTCCACAGTCTAGGTTGAGAGAAAGTAGATGGCTTTGTCACCCCAAGTTGGGCTACTGATCTCAGACTGCGCACTGGTAGATGCAACATCAGGAGCTGTGAGATACATGTAGGGTGGGTTCTGAGTACTTTAAACATTAAACTCAAAGTTTGAATATCAATCCTCTAATTGATGGGCAGCAAGTGAAGATCCTGTAGAATTGGACCAATGTGAACTTTTGTCTTTTGTAAATCAAGATACGAGCCTTGCACCCAAATTTTGCAGTAGCTGTAGTCTGTGAATTTGATGAGTCGATGACTCAACCAAAACAGAATTGTGTTGCACATGGTCCAATTTATTTCAAACTTTTTGCAATTCTGTTTCGCTTATTTCTCTGCTTTCATACAAATGAGCTTATTACAGGAGTCTGATTGCCCTATAACAACTCCCACTTAACATCCATACAAATACATCATCTTCTTTTGATCAGTCATTTTGGTTTGGTCACAAACTTAACGTCACAAACATATTAAATAGAATCTTAATGAAAAAACTAGAAATGCAATCGTGTCAGAACGATGTGCGTGCAATGACGCCGTGTTTCTACGTGTCAAACGAAAGAGCTTCTCTCGGACTATCCAGAGCAATTTGCACGAAGTCTGTAGCTTCTGTGATATTGGAGATAGGTAGGGCGAAAGAAAGGCATCAACAGTGACCTTGATGGGATGGTACTATGCCTACGAAGTTTGAAAGAAATTGGGATAGGGGAAAGAACCTAGAAAGGGCTCGCAAGCACTGCGTGCACAAACCAATGGGATTTGGTGCATGTTTGACATTGCAATCAAGTTCGTTCTGGGGGCCAAAAGCGTGAACCCGATATGCCCCATAGACAATGCGTGTAATGAATGGGCGGAAAACGTGCAGGATCTGTATTATGGCCGGAGTTAAATTGTTTTTTCTCTCTCTCTTTACGTCTCTTTATGGGCCGTATTTGGTATCATTAGAAAGAGAATTTCATGGTTGTTATTGTAAACCACTCTCTTTTTTTCTATGATAATCCTATCGAAACACGTGATGTAAAATAAATGTATAGGACAAAATGGCGTCTTAAATGGCCCCCTTGACCAATTTCAAAAATCCGGCCAAGAGGTGCCCTGCGTATTGGAACTCGGCATGTCACTGCAAATTTTCAAGGAAAAAAAAGGACGTTTAAGGGGCGAAAAGCAGTCTGAAAAAATGACGTCATAGCCGATACGTGTTAGATTCGGGCGGAAACTCGGCGGAATTCGTGTAGTGACCTTTGTTCAAATACGATTTACTCACAATTTTCTGTGTGAACATATAGTATACTTGGTATCATTCGAAAGGGCACTTCATTGCGGTCAGTTTGACACCATTGTTATCTGCGCGCAATGTATTGCACGCATTAAACGCGCTATTACGTAATGCATAGTAAATTCATCATTTTGGGCGATAACTTTGCGCTGACATATTCGAATTTTACCAAACTTGGCAAACAGTTGTCACGTATATGGATACATATATCCGCCAAGTTTCACTGATATAGGTATAAAGATCGCCATTTTAGAGCAAGTTGAAGTTATTTTCGAATTTTCTCGAAAATGGCAATTTTGGAGGGCATTTTTCTCAAATTTGGTCAGTGTTAGGGTATATAATTTTGTATATGGCTGGAAAGGGCATATCTTCAAGTATCTAAATCCAAAAAAGGGTACGGGTTTGCCAAGCCATTATGGAGATACGGCCACAGAGAGAAAGCCAATTCCCAGAACTTTAGAGGGCGCTATTTATGTTGTGCAAAGCCATTGGAGCGTAAAATTTGGCATGGCTATGTGCAATTATGAGATAAAGATAATGTGAGATTAAAACACAAAACGGAATTTATATGAGAAAGTTATGGCAGTTTTAGATTTTTAGGGGTCCATTTTTCAAGAATTTGAGAGATTTTTGACGGAGTCAGTTTCAGATTTGAATTTTGAGTACGAAGATGGCTTTTTGAAGGTCAGGTCATACGTCGCAGATGAAAGAACATCTATTAGACTATCTAGAGGAATTTGTTAGAAGTTTGTAGGATCTAGGATAGTGGAGATAGGAAGGAAGACAGAAAGGCCTTAAAATGGACCAAAAACGAATAAAATGGCGCCTGGACGGTTATGCATGAGTGATTTCGAAAATCAAAGAATGTAGTGACCTTGATGAGATGTTAGAGACCATGCCTATGAAATTTGAAAGAAAAAGGACATGAGGAAAGCACCGAACCAGGAATAACAAACACTACGTGCAAAACGAATGTGATTTTCTGACGATAAGGAACAGGAAAAGGAGGAAAAGGAGAATATTAATGGGGCAGAATGTGAACGAAAACAAGGCAATGACGAAGGTCGTCATTGCAAAAAGAGCCTAAAGACTCTACAAGCAAGATGAGCAAACAAAAATCACTCCTCAACTTTCCAAACTAGAATTGACTGCAGAGCTCGAACAAATCATAGAGATACTCAATGGAAGGGCTGGCTTGCTACCTGTAAGCCCTTCTTGGTAATGCACACCTTTGTCAAGAGTGTAAATAAGCAGCTTAGCAAAAGGGTCAACACAATGGGATTTGTATGGGGATAATTGCAGAGCTATTCACACCTAGGATTATAAGTTGTAAAGAGGGTTGTCTTTGTGAATGGAGCCTAGTAAATAAACTTGGGGTAATTATCTCCTGTGCTCAAAGAAACACAGGCTGTCTACTGTTCCATGTATCTACTTCTTCCATGATTGTTATCAAAGAAAAAGCTACCACAATTATGAATGCTATACAAAATCTACAGTCTATCAAAAAGAAAATATATACACTGGTATGTAAACAAGCTGTGCAATGAACACATGCTAACTCTATTTGTCAAAAGCCTATTGGATTGCTCATCTTTACAAGATGAAGTGCAGAACAAGAGGACTCTTTTCTCACTACAGGTATGTAACACCTGTTGGTGATAAGAAACATGCCTTTCATTATCATCTACAATTACATCATATTATCACCAGGATGGGCAGATCACACACAGAGATATCAAAATAAATTGTCAAACTTCAAAGTAAAATGTGCGCTCTGGAAAAAGATTCTGAAATAAAAACTAAGTGGAAGTATGTAAAATAACAATGAACAAAAGCCCTGGATGCTGAAAATTCATCTAATTGAAAAAGTCTTTATTCTAACTAAAAGTTTTAATCTATAGGGCTACAAGTTTATAAGCCTCACCAATGTAAAACAGGATAGCATAATCATTCTTTATATTGCTGAGCTTTCATTTCACAATAGAGCAATTGATATCAACAAAACCAAGCAACTAAACTGTTCACACAGCAAACCAGTGCAGTGTTGAGCAGGGGAGGAGGTCCCACATAAATCCTTCTACATCCCATCTATAATGTACTGAAGGTCATTTCAGCTTACATTGCAAGGGTCAGCCGACTCAGCACACTACACAGTAAATGTAGACCTACAGGTAAAGCTAAAAGGTGGTCAACCAAATTAAAGGAATAATTTGTGCTCAAGTAAGTTGTAACAGCGATGTACATGTACATAGACCAATGTTGACTTTCTTTTTTTAATTTCTTGAGCTTGAAGAAATGGCAAGTTTAAATCAAAATGCCATAATTATTGTACTTGTGCTGACAAGAGGATGTCATTGAATTGTTTTTTCCAGCTTTTTCTAATTTGTTTCAACAAAAAAGAAACTCAGAATAAATTTATGATACAAGTCCTGCATCTCATGTTTGCATAATACATGTTTGACAGAAATAATCCAGGTTTCTCTTTCAGTGGGTCATCGAATAATTTGGATAATAGCTAACTCAATATTCTACCTAATTATTTAACTCTAGACTACCTACCAACCAACTGCTAAATTGAAATTATTAATTCGCAAGACTGATTACCAGTACTGAGTAGGTCTACACTTTGAAATTAATTTTTTTTTAAACAAATCAAGTTCTCCAGAGGATCGAGGCAACCAAACTTGGGACTTCAAAAAACACAAGAAAACTATTGGAAACATTTGGAAGCCAAAATCCATCTTTTGGGTCTAATTGCAGAACTACACAATGTCTTAAAGTTCTACGCCAGCACCATTGAGTTTACAATTAGGCCGTTTCTATAGATAATTTGGAGATCCCAAATATGAAATAAACCAGAGAAATTCTACATTGAAAACTACATTTTTGAAGATTTTTTTCATTTCCAAACTATCAAAGTTTGTATGTAATTATGATCTTGTCCATCATTTGGAATTTAATACTCTTTTATCTCAGTGTTCGATTGGAGTTCATTGACAAATAACATTAAGTGTTAATTGGGTATTATTACTAATGCTAGAGCACTTTTTTTAGCCTAGACCTAGATCTATCTAGACATTCTATACTGGGCCTACACAATTTCAATGGTTCCATTGTTTCGACATGATAAATGCCGCAGATTCACCACTTTAAAGTTAGTGGCCTTTATTTATGCATGTTTTATTTGTATATTACCAACTTTTCAAGACATTTCATTGAATAGCTTCTCTGTAGGCAGTGGTACTGGTAGGCTACTGTAGTAAGAATAAATAACGTCAAGCAAAAGTGTCAAGCTATTGACATATTGTTAATAAGTTTATAACGCATCATACAACTTAATAATGCAACTTAATACAAGTAAGCCTACCGGTATCGTACAACACATTAGATACCTACATTGTAGGCATAGACCGAGTGTCTATAGTCTGAGACTGGATGTGCAAAAACATGTGTACAAAATGTCAAACAGTCACAGGCCATCTTCATGTCAGTATGTCAACCGCCACACGAACACCAAACATTCATTCACACCAAACAAGCATGCTCGGCGGCTTTACCTTCCCGATGCCGCATGAAGCTTGCTGTGGTAATTCACCAAGCTTGCAAGGACGGGATCCGCATCTTTCTCCACTATCTTTCCAACATTTTCAAACTTAGGCTCGGGCTTCCGTGACAATTGTTGCGGTTTAATGCATTCAATTTTTCGTAGTGAAGTGTCACGGGAAAACGTGACAGAAATAGCAGCCCGAGGTGGCAATCCTGGTTGAGATGGCATCACAACTCTAGAACGAGACTCCATTTTGGAGATGGGCTACTGCAATGCATGCAAGCGCTACCTTTACATAGAATGTATTCAACCAACATGCACATGTGCTGCATTGCATATAGACCATATAATAGGATCCTAGATCCTCTTACTTGGATTTCGCTGCACACACGTTTCGTTTGCACACGGTACGAACAACGAGCTCTCGAAATATGCAGCAAACTCCGCCCACTTCAAGTGTTTTGATCAAGAATCGCTGTGATTCGTCAAAAGTTCAGAAACACAAAATCATACATTTGTTCAAGTTCAAGTTCAAGTTCAAGTTTATTCAAACCAATCAAACACAACATTTTACAATCAATTGACACAAAAGAAATAAAAAACATGATAGGTTTGGGACCCCGGAGAAGCAGAGCTTGTGATAAGGGGCCCCTTAAAAGGTACATAAACAAAAACAAAATAACAGTATTTAGAATAACCGATGACAAAAACATATTTACAATGATAACTAATGAGTAAATATGGGAACAGAAAAAAAGATAACACACATACACATACACACCCACGCACACACACACAGACACACCCAAATACACACATACACACATGGCTTTCCAGGATTTACTTTAACATATTTTGTAATCTCTCAAAAAGATATTCTCGACATGTATGTTTAAACATAGGTAGTGTTGGACTGGATCTGATGTTTTGTGGCAACTTATTCCATTCTTTGATACAATTAATTACAAAAGAGTTCGAAGCAGTTTGTGTTCTCGCAAACGGCTGATGGATAAGATTTCTGTGACGTGTGTTGTACGAATGGACAGTCGAATTAACAATAAACGCATCTTTTAAAAATGAATTATTTTGAGCAGATTGAGATTTGTACATGAATATCAAACAATTCATGGAGACTAATTCATCAAGAGGCAACATCTGAAGTTGCACAAATAAAGGATTACTTGGACTTCTGTAATTTGAATTTGTAATGAGCCTGATAGCTTTCTTCTGAAGGACTATTAACTTGTTTATATGGCTCCTATACGTATTTCCCCATGCAACATTACAATAAGTTAAGTGAGGCATAATGATAGCATTATAAAGAGTTACTAAAGTTTGCTCTGGTAAAAAAAAGCGTAACTTAAAAATCACACCAACACTCCTCGAGACCTTGGTACAAACATTGCTGAGGTGATCTTTCCAAGTTAAATGATCATCAACTGTAACTCCAAGAAACCTTACATTTTGACTCCGGTTGATCAGATGACCACCTATTGTCAGGGGGTCAATATTATCTGGGATTCTTTTGCCCCTTGATCTAAAAACAACATATTGAGTCTTACTAGCATTTAACAAAAGTTTGTTGCAACAAAACCACTTATAAATATATTGTGAACTTCATTATTTGCAGACAAAATCAGATTATGCATGTCTTTGTGGTGAGAAAGCAAGCAAGTATCATCAGCAAAAAGTGAATAAGTAAACAACTGAGATGAGTTTATAATATCATTAATATAAATCAAGAACAATAAGGGGCCCAGGACTGAGCCTTGGGGTACGCCATATTTTACCTTCCTAGATTGTGATTTAACTCCATTAACCACTACATACTGTAATCGTTTATGTAAGTAATTTTTAAACCATTTCAAAGCTATCCCACGAATGCCATAATGCTCAAGCTTGCTTAATAATATATCATGATCAATAGTGTCGAATGCTTTCGATAAATCCAAAAACACACCAAGACAAAACTTCCCAGCATCAATTGCATTTATAATAGTGTTTACCAAATTCAAGACACCCATACTTGTAGAGCAATTCTTTCGAAAGCCAAATTGTTGTGGGATCAGAATATCATGAAGTCGAAGGAAGTCATCCAACCTTTTATACACTATTTTCTCTAGAGTTTTTGAAAATATGGGTAACAAAGCAATTGGTCTATAATTCTCAATGTTCTTACGATCATTCTTCTTGAATACAGGGATTACTTTAGCTTGCACAGCTGTTTCGGCCGTTCCGTTGAATAGTGCAATTCTGTTCGTCTTTTATATAGACCTATACAAACTTTTGTTGTTTTTGAATATTCTTAGTTATATATTTGGCGACGCTATGAATAACAAATAAAGCTCTCATATATGTAAAAACCGGGTGGTAGCCGTTGCGTTCTCCATCAAGGAATGCTTAGATTTTCATTACAACCCCCTCTTATTGTTATCCGATCTCTTAACAACTCAAAATCTCATGGTTGCGATATAATAAGTATGTCTCTCCTAGGAATCATTATGGAGAAATCAAGTTAGATCTGATATTATTTTCAGTCATGGAACTTCTAAGAGCAGAGGAGTATGCATTATATTAAGAAAGACACCCGATTTTAAATTGTTAGACTCCATTAAAGATATAATGGGACGATTTTTATTGGTAAAAGTTGAAATTCAGAAGAAAGTTTATGTGATATGCAACATTTATGCACCAAATAATGAGAAGGATCAGGTTGAGTTTTTTAAGAAGGTAGAATTGACCATACAAGATAACGTTGAAAATGGGGAAATTCTAATAATTGGTGGGGACTTTAATTTAATTCAAAACCTTGATCTGGACAGGGCAGGTGGCTCAATGAAAAGCATTTGGAAGCACTCTGTGAATCTTATAGAAAATCTGAAAATATATTTTGGTTTGGTTGATGTTTGGAGAATCAGAAACCCCTGCAAAAAAGGATTTACATGGAGAAGGTATAACCCACTGGTGCAATCTAGATTGGATTTTTGGTTAATCCATGAATCCTTACAGAATACAATTAGTGAAAATGATATCATACCGTGTGTTTTGTCTGATCATGATCATGTTAGTTTGCACATGAAAATTAAGACAAAAAATTCTGGTCCGTCCTACTGGAAATTTAACAATAGTCTATTGAATGAGGTGGAGTATGTTAATGCTTTAGCTAATAAATACTCAGAATGGATTGGTGAGTTTACAGATAGTAATGATAAAGGAGGGCTATGGGATTGGTTAAAGTTTAAAATTAGAGAATTTACTGTACCATTTTCTAAGAAGAAGAAATGTGAAAGGGAAGAGAAAAGAAAGGCTCTTGAAAAAGAAGTGAAAAAATTAGATGACAGGATGGCAGCAGAAGATATAGATGAAGAATTAATGAAAAAGAAAAGGGAAATAGAACAGGAGTTGTTTAAAATATATGACTATTTTGCAGATGGGGCAATCTTGAGGTCAAGGTTTACATGGTATGAGAAAGGGGAAAAGAGTACTAAATATTTTTTGTCATTGGAAAAAGGTCAAGCAGCAATTCCAATATTGATGTTTTGACTTCAGATGTAGGACGTATTGATAAACAGTCTAAAATACAGGATTTCATTAAGAAATCATATCAAACTTCGTTTGAGAACAAAGATAAGGTGGAAGATGAGGTGAGCAAAGATTACATAAGTCAGAGTAACATCAAGCAACTCACAGACGAAGAAAGAAATTCATGTGAAGGAAATATCACTTGCTCTGAAGCTAGGGCAGAATTGTTAAAAATGGCTAGAAATAAAACACCTGGGAACAATGGGTTAACTGTGGAGTTTTATGAGATGTTTTGGCCTTTGATATCAAAAGAAGTTATTGATTCTTTCAATTTTGCATATGAAAATAGTGTAATGTCTGTGTCACAAAGACAAGGTACAATTAAACTCATCCCTAAGCCTGATAGAGATAAACACACACTGAGCAATTGGCGTCCCATAACTCTTTTAAATGTAGATGTTAAAATACTTTCTAAATGCTTGGCGAAGAGAGCTGCTAAGGTGATAGGAAAGTTAGTAGATAGTCAACAAACTGCCTTTATTAAAGGCAGATATATAGGGGAAGGAATACGATTAATATCAGACCTCTTACAATATACTAAGGAGGAGAATTTGAGAGGTATTATGCTAGCCCTTGATCTAACAAAAGCATTTGATTCAATAAGCCACAGGTACATGCTAAATTGTTTAGAAGCGTTCAATTTTGGACCATCTTTCATACAATGGGTTAGAACATTGCACACTAATATAAGTAGTTGTGTATTGGTGAATGGATTTACCACTGGATATTTTCCAGTGTCTAGAGGAGTCAGACAAGGTGATCCTCTGGCTCCTTTACTGTTTATACTGAGCTTGGAAGTTGTTCTTACAAGACTTAATAATAATGATAATATTCAGGCTTTTGAATTTAGTTGAAAACAAATAAAGTATACAGCATATGCTGATGACATAACTTGCTTTTGTAGGAATATACAATCAATGAAGATGGTTTTCAAAGTTTTTGAAGAATTCTCAATCATATCAGGTCTTTATTTGAATAAAACAAAAACGGAAGGTATATGGGTTGGGAAAGATAGGCACAATGGAGAAAAAACAAATGATATACATTGGGCAGACAAAAGCATAAGAATTTTAGGCATTAATTTCTCATATGATCAGGAAGTAGTCAGGAAACTGAACTTTGATAAGAGACTGGATGAAATAAAATGTACTTTTTTAAGATGGAAGAATCGGGGTTAACTTTAATAGGGAAAAATTCAAGTGTTGAAAACATTTGTTATGTCTAAGATTATGTATATAGTTTTCAATATTGAAATACCCGATGATTTTGTTAAGGAGGTTGAAAAGTTGATGTTTCAGTTTATATGGAAAGGTCCAGATAAGATATCACGGGCAACAATGATTGCAGATTATACTGAAGGTGGTCTTAAATTCCCGAAATTAAAATGCATGATAGAGACACAGCTGGTTAAGTGGATTCAGAGATATTATACAGAATCAGATCATCATTGGAAGTTGTTCTTTGACCACTATAGTAAACGATGTGGTGGAAAATTGATTTTTATGAGTAATTATTCTATGAGCCAGTTGAATTCTCTTGGAATTCCCATATTTTATCATAACTTGTTGTTAGCATGGTCCAAAACAAAGGAGTATAATCAATTTGTTGATGATCAAGGAGCCCAAGCAAGTGTACTTAGTCAAATTGTTTGGAACAATCAATATATTCTTATTGATAATAAATCAGTTTACTGTAAGGCCTTTCATGAGGCAGGTCTATGTTATGTATATCAACTTTTTGATCTACATG